TACCTTTGTTTCTTATCTTCTTGCGAGTTATTTAAGTTCTATGTAGCTTTTAAGAATGAATTGTCTAAAAATGTGGTTTAATGAGTGATAGATGTCTAACAACCATGGGGAAAATGTTTGCATTAATGAAATGGAAACATAAGAGGACGATGAACTTGATATGTTAACCATGCTTATGTTGGTAGTTGCAACTACATGTGCTGCAGCTGCGGCCTGGTATCATACAAGTTACATAGATAGAGAACCAAATGTGGATAAGGATCTAGGAAGAAACAAATGCATAAATGAAATCATTAACGCATCAGATGTACTTTAAGGTTGTGTATTTAAATACAACCTTGTCCTCATCTTAGTTTAAACACAACCTTTATTTGGACAACTACAACTTGCCCTGGTGAACCACATTAAAATTGGTGTTGTAGTTTGTCACTCTAATTTTCTCTCATGACTAAGTTTTTCCATCACTAGTTTATTTTCTTAAATTGTTGCACACGATCCTTGAGCTTATTGTTGGATTATCGATTTTACATGTTTGGTATTGAGTGTGTGATATTCGGTGATCGGTTGAATTGGAGTTTCGGGTATTCGGATCTTCAACAACATCACAAAAAGAAAAGTTCTCCCAAGCATTGTGTAGAGAGGCCTTACAAAATTATAATAAGTGTCATCCATGTTTTTTTAGTGTGTAAAAGCACAAAAATAAATGAATCTTTACTCACCCATTCGATTCAATAAAAACCCCCCAAAAACACCATCAACAACATCAAAACCCTAACACTGACAAAAAGCAGAAAATGGGCCAAAAAATCGAGTAAATTTTTCTCATACCTAGCAAGATTAATGGAGAGAAAGGGGGCTTCCGGCTCTGCAAAAAATGGGCCAACAATGAAGTCCAAAATGATGCAGTGAAGATTGAGGCTTGGTTTAATGCCTTCTGAGCTTCACTTGGTTGTGATGGCAAGGCAGAATGGAGAACAGAAGCTCGGTGACTTCTCCAATTATGACGGTCGAGAGAGAAGGGTATGAATCGTTTCATCAGTCGGGGATGCATTTCTACATTTGAGTCCCCCAAGTTATAAAGCAATGGATACAAATGGACGGTCTATCTAAAAACAGTAGAAACTGACGGTCCAAATATTTTCTTTATAAAACTATTATTTTAAAAATTGTAATTCTTTTTTGCCTCTAAATCAATTGTTTTTTACCATCAAGTGAACACATATTATGTGTGGTTTAAACAAATTTTAGATGGTTAAAATCTTAGATGTTTGGTAAAATTATCTAATTGGTTTTGTAATGTTTTAGTGCTTCTATCCTACCTCAAATGAAGCAATCTATCCTAACTTTAGTTGGTAAAATAAAGATAAAATACTGTAGGGCCCTTCGCACTTCCTCCTTCGATCTTAGTTTAAACACAACCTTATTTTAGTAGGGCCCTAAGTGTAGTTAAAATACATCTGATGCGTTAATGATTTCATTTATGTATTTGTTTCTTCCTAGGTCCCTATCCACATTTGGTTCTTTATCTATGTAACTTGTATGATAACATGAATGAAATCATTAACGCATCAGATGTATTTTAACAATTACACTTAGGGCCCTACTAAAATAAGGTTGTGTTTAAACTAAGATTGAAGGAGGGAGTGGAGAGGGCCCTACAATATTTTATCTTTATTTTAGCAACTACACTTAGGGTACATTGCTTCATTTGAGGTAGGATAGAAGCACTAAAACATTACAAAACCAATTAGATAATTTTACCAAACATCTAAGATTTTAACCATCTAAAATTTGTTTAAACCACACATAGTGTGTGTTCACTTGATGGTAAAAAACAATTGATTTAGAGGCAAAAAAGAATTACAATTTTTAAAATAATAGTTTTATAAAGAAAATATTTAGACCGTTAGTTTCTACTGTTTTTAGATAGACCGTCCATTTGTATCCATTGTTTTATAACTTGGAGGACTCTAATGTAGAAATGCATCCCCGACTGATGAAATGATTCATACCCTTTTCTCTCGACCGTCATAGTTGGAGAAATCACCGAGCTTCTGTTCTTTTGCCTTGCCATCACAACCAAGTGAAGCTTAGAAGGCATTAAACCAAACCTCAATCTTCACTGCATCATTTTGGGCTTCGTTGTTGGCCCATTTTTTGTAGAGCCGGAAGCCCCCTTTCTCTCGATTAATCTTGTCAAGTATGGGAAAAATTTAATCGATTTTTGGCCCATTTTCTGATGTTGTTGATGGTGTTTTTGGGGGTTTTTTATTGAATCGAATGGGTGAGTAAAGATTGGTTTATCTTTGTGCTTTTACACAATAAAAAAACATGAATGCCACTTATTATAATTTTGTGAGGCCTCTCTACACAATGCTTGGGAGAACTTTTCTTTTTGTGATGTTGTTGAAGATCCAAATACCCGAAACTCCAATTCAACTGATCACCGAATATCACATACTCAATACCAAATATGTAAAATCGATAATCCAACAATAAACTCAAGGATCGTGTACAACAATTTAAGAAAATAAACAAAAACTTAGTCATGAGAGAAAATTAGAGAGACAAATCACAACGCCAATTTTAACGTGGTTCACCCTGTAGGGCTACGTCCACAGGCAAGCCGGCAAGTATTCCACTATCAAAAAGAGAAATTTACAAGGGGATACAGAGTTACCTCAAAAGGAAAAAAATGATGAAAAAATATCTTGAAAAGACCTTCCTTGTGATCATCCAAAAGAACACGATTTACCCCACTTCACTTCAGATGACCCAAGAACATGAGCAATACAAGCTCTTACTATTTCTCCCAAAAATAGGACAAGAAAAACCATCTTCACCTCCTTCTCTTTCTCAACCTAACCCAAAGAAGCCCTAGCCCCTTTTAGAGAGAGAGAGGAACTCAAAAGAAGAACCGTGTTTTTCAAAAAAACCCCTTTGTTATGGCTTTTATACAAGTCACGTAATTACAGTGACCAAAAAAGCCCCAAAACAAATGATAAAAGACAAGCATACAAAAGGTTATTTTTATATCACAATTCAACATTTGTTTCCTTTAGTTGTTCTTGGTTATTGAATATAGAATGCTTGAGAAATCTTAAGTGAGATAATTTCCGTTTTAGTGGGGATAGCAAAATTTGTCTTAATGGATTGTAGCATGTTTTATGACTTATTTGATGATCCATAATTTCTTGGCTTTATATGGATACGTTTTCTTCGTTCTGGGACTATTAGAAGTTGAAAATTTTTCCTTGTTGATTTTTGATTAAATAGAATGGTTTTTAAATCCCTTCTTTTTGGTGCTGGCTTTACCATATGAATATTATCATTTGATTGGATTCCACGTAGGAATTCTCTTTGCAGTTTATTCAGAAAAAAAAGATGCTCTCTGTAGTGATGCTGGTCGCAACAGTTTTGATATCCAGGGATTGATGAATCATATGTATTTCTCAATAGTTTTTTTAATGCTTTATTTTTTTAAGTGCATTTTGGTTATTTGTATTCTACAGAATTCACAATAGAAAGAGCTATCAGGTCAAGTCAATGAGTCTTGCCATTTTTTCTTTCTAATTTTATAGTTTAGAAAACTCACATGCTGGTATACATATTAAACCTGTACAATTTGCACGTGCATAGGCTAATGACGCAGCTTCGAAGATATTCCACATTGTTCTATCTCCTATACACCTCATGGATCAAGTTTTCTTAGAGGACATAGAATAATACAACCTATGCAATAGTTTAATTTCATTATGATTATAAGACTGAAAAACAACCTATGCTAAGTGTACTTTGGACTTCATGGCAATTTTATATTTAACTTCTTAAGTCTCTAATGAGATGTAGTATGGATGTAGAGAGAGAGAGAGAGAGAGAGAGAGAGACAACGTGAGAGAGAGAATATCATAACTCGATTCTAAAATGATAAAACAGAAATGATCGAAACTATCTAATTTATTTCTCATATAGGTGATTACTTCTTACCAAAAAATCTTTTTGATTGGCCGTATATTACTTTGGAATCATCAACTTATGAAATGAACAACTGAACTGGTTTAATGGCAAACAACCATATCCTGATTTTCAACTTAGTGGAGCCAAACAGGGCATTTTTCAAATACTGGGCTCTCCCAATAGCCAGCCAAACAACATTGTTTTTAAAATCAGGTTTTGCATATACTAGAATATGCATAACCAGTTTTTGAGGCATATCCAGGATATGCATATCCAAGGACCCAAATGACCAATTAGATAATAAAAATAGAAAGGAGGGGTTTAGTGTCGTAATATTAAAATTTGAAAAAAGTTTATGTAGTGTTGAGGTTCCAAACAATCAAATTCAAGGCCACCTCAAAATTTTCACTAGAAAATGTTGTTTTGATACCCAAATATCTTCAAATTGTTCATCTTGACATCAAGATGCACGGACATGAGAAAAAAATGGATTTCAAGTTTTGGAAATAGTGCATCTTGTAATGCATTTTTGGATCGTTAATTTTCAAGATTTTCATAGATTTACTTGATCTACACAATTTTTGAAGCTTTAAATTTTATAATTAAAGATAGAAATCTATTTTAAGGCAATCAGAAAGATTTTCAATATTGAAACCACATTTCTTGAAACCATCTGAAGGTGTGTTTTACTTGTGTTTACAGCCTAGGCTCTATACAAACTACACCCTTGCAATAAATATCCCTTTTCCTTCCTCTATTTCTCACCTTTCTCGTTTTCACTTTTCACCCTCCACCCTCTGCTCTGTGAGACAGAGAGCAAGCGCTCCCTCCCCTCCCCCAACCCCAACCCAAGTGAACCCACAAAGTCGAATCTTTGTGAAGCTGTGACATCGTGAAGCCTGATAATCTTCAACCCTAATCTCTCTGTGAAGTCTGATCACTGTTGGTTTATATCTATCGGGTATGATTAAGCATTTTCGTGGTGTGTTCTTTCTTCTTTCTTTTTTCTTTTTCTGCTCTCTTCTGTGTGTAAATTTTCTCTCTTCTGCCCTCTCTCTTTCCCTTCCTCTCTCTAGGTCATGGTATACTCAAAATATATGTTATTTTAATCATCTATAGTATAAAACTATCATCTAAAGAGTAAGTAAATATCTTTTATCTCTCTCTAAGTCCCTGATATTCAGAATATGTGTTATTTCAATTATACATGGATCCCATAAATTGTCACCTAAAGAATCAGTAAATCTCTGTTTTAGTGTATTCAAGAGTGTAAAATATTGAATAACCTAAATAAAGAGTGTAAAATCTCAATGTCTTTTTTCCTGTGTGAAATCCTTGTATAAAAACAGAAAATTCTATGTTCATTATCAAGAAACAGGAAAGCTCGTGCGAAAAGAGTATAATCTTTGTGAAAACAGTAAACTAATCTAATTTTATAAAGAATAAATGAATCTTTGGTTTTTTAAAAACCACACTGTAAAATCTGTGTCTCTATCACTGGTTGAAATTGATGTGAAACTAGTAATATCCGTTGTTGATCAAATTCATTCATAAAATAGTAAATATCTGTTATATATGTCAATTTTGTTATTTTTTTTTTTCATATTTGTACACAAAACTGAGGAAAAAGAACTAAAGAAAGACTAAGTAAAGCACCAAAGGCATAGTCCCTTTTTCTCCACAAGTGCTGAATTATTGCTTGCTTTTTTCTTTCTCCTTGCATTTTTATTTTATTTTATTGCGTGATACGTCCAAGTTATCAGTGGGCACCATCTTCTAGCAAGAGATTTTACATAACATCCGAGGAGAACTCACTCCATGTATTATGATGAATTACATAGTTTTATTTCTAAGTAGGAGTTTAGTCATGATTTTGTGGAGTGGTTTGTTTGTGATTATTAACATCATTGATCATGGAAATTTAGAATCTAGAGAGATTTGCTTCAAGTTAAATGCTCATGGATGAGCATCACTCTGAAGTGCAAGAGTTACCTAGATGTTTGGCTTTTGTGCTCATTTTATTTGGGTTTGTGTTTTCTTATTCATTTCAGAGATGTGGTTGAATGGTTAGTATCTGTTCCCATCTGTGGTTATTCAATGTTGGGTTAGAAAAAATCTTTTGGCAAGCAATTAAAATAGTAGAGGACTAGCATAATGTTCTTGAATGTTAGAAATTCCGCTTAAGCTTAGAAGGGAAACATTATCACAGAAGTTTGATTAAGTCATAGTATGAAGTTGGTGCAACAGTTTTACCATATTCTCCATCGATCTATTATTGTTTCATTTTCTCTGATGCACTTGAGGTTAGCATTTTCAGTTTGGTAGCCATTCTGTTTCTTTCCACTTTGTGGTTCACATGGAAAGTTTCAACATACAAGTGAGAAAGGAGAAGAGTGAGAAGAAAAGAAATGGAAATCTTCTTCTATCCTATTTTATTTTACGAGTTCTCTTTTTGGTATGTATTGTATTGTCTTTTCCTCCTCTTCATTTTGATTGGTTGAGAAAATAAATTGAATGTTAATATGGACATGTTTTAATTCTATGTAATAAAAGTTTATTGAGTGTACTTACTTTCTCCTACTTATTATTAAAATGCAATCTCATGTGAAGCTCTGTTGATTTCTTTTTCCTTTTAATTTCTCACTATGGGTTCTCTATTTTAAGGGATTGTATATTATGAGACTATTTATTTGGGTACAAGGAGCTCACGATCACTTTTGGCCATTGGATGTGAAATCTAATAGATGAGCGTGTCACAACATTCAAGAAATTTTTTTTGGACTTTGTGCCCGCCCAAACAATGGCACATCCTCAATCATTGGATTTCATATCGAAAGCTTAATGATGATTGTGACCACCCTATATCAAAAGTAAATGGTCTCATTGTGAGCATGTCCTTTGAATTCATTGAATGTCTTATGATTGGAGGGTGAGAGGTGGAACTCAACAAAAAAGAGATGCTTCTTTAGTTTTGAGTTAAAATGAGTCATTTGTTGTTTTTTTCGTTTTATGTGTGTTTTTGAGAGAGAGAATTGAGACTTCTTCATTAATCAAAGAATACTTCTTCATTGTTGGGCTAAATTGGGAGGTGACTCTCTCTCTCTCTCCTCCCCCCTACCCCCATGCATGTGTGTGTGTGTGTGTGTGTGATCATGAACTTCTAATCGGGAGATGTAGTGAAAATCTAGCATAAGTTGAAATTTTGGATCTAATAATGGGGTTTTGAGACTTGAACGTGTAAGAAAATTGAGGTAGGGAGCGGATTTCTGCCTCCATTTTATTTTCTGTTGTAGTGAACAATACTTGGGTGACTATTGTAGCCCCTTGCCAAGTACTGTAGAACTTGGGGAGTCTCCCTGAATAGCACCGGAATGAGTTTGTACAGTACTCGGCATTCCACCAATTTGATTGGAAGTACTCGCCTTGGAACCCTGCCAAGGCCAAGTAACTCGGCCTCTGAGTTGGCTTGGCTAAGTTCTCGAGTACTACTATAAGGCCCTTTTGATGTCAATGATATATCATTGAAATAATTTCTGACATTTAATAAAAAGATAATTGAAATTCGGTTAGCTTGCTTTGATTATCATGATGTTCACTCATAACATGCCTGTTGATTAGTGGGATAGTGTGGAACTCTTGAATTTGTCTAAACTCATGCAAATGAATGGACTTCTTGTTAACATTGTTTAATTTTTGCCTCTCTCTCTATCCCATTACTTGCAGGAACAGTTCTGCTTGTGTGGGAAATTTTATTCTAGAAAATGGTGGAGCTACTCTTTGAGGACATCTTTACTTTGACAAAGTTGAACCCAGATGGAAAGAAGTTCGATAAAGGTATACATTTTTTGTCTTTCCACATTTACATATTCTACTGTATTGAATATTTCATGGTTTTTAGTAGGAAATATGCGATCTTCAAAGTATATATATTCCGCCCTATTGATTTTTTTATCTGGTTTAGTGGTAAACATGCTACCTCGAAAGTATAACTTTGAAATAAATAGTGTTCATGGAAAATCACCAAAAGCCATGTCAATTACATGCCTGTGGCTTTTGGTCTGGTGGTGTAACTTCTAGTTTGGGTGAGCAGGTATAATGTTTTTAGTTGTCCCTCACACACACCAAACTTGCATTCTCTAAAAAAATTGCTCTTATTTTAGTGAGTTTTATATTTGATTGATGTAAACTTTGTAATTAAATAGCCTGTGCATAGAAAGTAGAAATCAATGTATGAAGTGCTTGCAGTAAATTACATGACAGCAAGAATGCAAGTCAACCAAAAAAATGATGTAACCGGTGATAATTCCTATAGGCACCCTATTAGTGTGAATCATGCCTTATTTATCAACTTAAAATCACATGAATGGTCAAAGGTTCAATTTTTTTGCATCGAATCTATTCTTTTCATCTTTCAATTTTGCAGTTCTTGTGTGATGGTCATTGCTAGTAAAATATGATGCATTATTCAGAGGAAGACCGTCAAAACAATTGTTGAGACTGTTGATTGATATTATAGTTGCTATAACCTTGTTGGATTTGATAAAAAAATTGAAATCGGTAACTTTCAAAGGAGGTAGGGCTCAGGTTACTTCTTTCTGGTTTTTTGTTTTTTGTTTTTATTTTTATTTTATTTGGTGGTGTCGAGAGGTCTTGATGAAGTTAAAGTGAACTTTAGGGTTAATAATAAAGGGTTTAATGGATGCTAAAGTTATTGAACTTTAACAGTCCGGCAAGATACATGAATGAAGGGCTCTTAGGTTGGTTTTGAAATAGAAAAGATTGAGGATTGAAAATATATTGTTAGGTTCTGTTATGGGCTGAATTTCCTAGGGTTCGAAAGAACTTCTGGAATGATGGAGGTAGAGTTTTCATAGGGTTTTGGTGAAATGGTGGGATATGAATAGTAAGGAGAGAATGGTTAAAGGAAGAAGAAGGTTTTAACTTGTATAAGGAGTCAAAGACCTTATTCTACTTAGGAGGCATAGAATTGTATTGGCATCAACACTAACCAAAATGCTTTCAACTAAATCAATCATAAGCAAACCTTTTCTCAACTCAAGCTCTATCATCGTTGGCCTTGGGCTTACATCTTCATTTATAGATGTAGGAACCTCCTATCTTCCTTAACTTGGAATTTAGTCAGTAAAAAATCATGCCTTTCCTATATCAAGGAACTACATCCTTTATATTTTTGGGAGCTAGACCCTTTACAAAATTAGGAAGTTAATTTATGGAACACTTCTAACAACAAATGAGAAATAACTGACTTTCTAAAACAAAATCGAAGTTTCAAACTTTCTTATTTAATTCCAATATTCCTAATAAAAATTTCGGTTGCTTGTCAACAAAGATTTGAGGGCTGAAACATCAATATTGTTAAAAAGACCTAGAGATATAGCCATGGATCTCCGAGAGACCTTCAAATTTTAGATCCGAATCACCTGAAATGGGCATCCATGTGTAAAGTTATACCTTTAAAAAGGAGTTTGCGTCACGTTTATCAAGGTTTTGGGGCTTGGATGCCTAGTGGGCACCTTTTACTTGAGGATCCTCAAACCTTATAGGGCTGTAACCCTATGCTGGTCTCGCCAACGCAGGTTGCTGGGAGGGGTGAGCTGGAAACAGTCTTTACCTTTGGCTTTTATGCACAAAGTGGCCATTCTCAGGACTCGAACCTGCGCTCTTGTGCTGGCTACCCGAGCCTTTTACTGCCACACCAAGTGACGGCCTCTAGGGTCCCCAATCCTATCAATCAATCT